TTCCATTTCTTCAAATAGACTACTTGAATTTCTATCTTCATAATTCGAGTTCTCCACCCCCAATGTATCATTTTGTTGCGTATCTTGTGCTTTTACTGTGCATTCTAGCTTCGATTGGTTCCCAGATTCTTTAAGCTCTTCAGTTGTAGATTCCATAGTTTCTGTGGATATATTTATAACTGGCAACAATGCATTCAGTTTAATGATTTGTGTTGTAGTATTATTCATGTTCATTTTAGTTACGTTTTTTGTTTCAGAATTCCCTATTTCCGACAGGGAATGGATATCAACAAGAATCGAAGTAGCTTTATCTACACTAGTCAGTTTGATTGTTTGAGTTGATGTATTAATCATGTCTAATTCAGATTTTTTTTTCATTTTGTGATTTTCTTGCTCCGTCTGGGAATGGACATCAGCAAAAACTGGTGTGGCCTTATCTGTTGTTTTCTTATCTCGGAGGTTTTTTATTTGGACTTCAAGTTCACGATTATTGTTCCGCAGTAGCTCCACCTTATTTAGTAGGTCGTTTTCCATGTCAATTGCTTCTTCGTAAAACATCTTATGTTTTTGAGTCATTTTTTCAATTATATCGTTTTTCATTATGAGTTCACTTTTTAGTTCATCTATTTTAGTAACATACTTCTCAATTTCATACTTATTAGGGTCCGAAATTGGGTCATTATTTTCACTGATGTTACAGCTCTTGCAGATTATTTTAAAACCGTCTAAGTAGGTAACGAATCTAGTTCTCTGCGAACAACTAGTATGAAATACCCCGGAACATGTTATACATACATGATAGCCGTGAGCAGATTTTTTCTTACAGCAGGAAAATGCAAAGTTTGCATTTTTGTTGGAGCACTCATTCGGACACTGTTCACTTGACGCCATTTTATTATTATTCGCATACAGACGCATGCGCACAAAAAATTGTGATGAAAAGGCCTATATATAAGAGCTCTGTCGAGCACGCAGGCGCAGTTCAGTCTTACGTGATCCAATGCGAGTACAGAGATATAAGCGAAGTAATAGTGTATTGTGTGGAATTATAGTGTTGCGAATTAGTGAAGTGAAAGAGAATATGATTTTTTAATTTGAATTAAAAGGATTTGATGCCTAATAGAAGACTACTCACTGGTATTCATTCTCTTTAAAATCTTTATTGAAGTGAATATTTTTGTACAAATAGAATTAATACTTGGCTCCTTTTTATAATTGTTAATTTGTTACAGGTCGATCAACAATTGAAATGGCAAAAAAGACGCAAGAAAATACATTATTCAAATATTTATTTAAAAAAATCTAAACTTGATGCTGATAGTGAAGCCAGTGAAGGTTCTACTGAAAATCGGTGTTCAAGTGATTTCGACAGCGATATTGCTACAAGTAGTTCTAGTACATCTGCTGCCGTTCCTGGGACTGTGGATAATCTTTCTCGGCATTTTTTAGATGTGGAATACTATATGGGATCAAACATAAAAATTGATGATGATTTGAAGTACAGATTATTGAAATATCCTTGGATGCCAGAAAAGACATTCAAGTTTCCAGTGAGTGACGATAAAAGAAAGCTAAAATTTCTAATTCGATGGATTGAACGCTTCTTGTGGTTGGTTTACACGAGTACAGGGCAACAAGGTGCTTTATACACATAATGTGTATTATTTGCCAGAGATTGCGCAGGAAAAGGCTCTCATCAGCAACTGAATTCCTTAGTTACTAAGCCACTCACTAAATAGAAAGATGCTATACATGATTTCAAGCATCACAGTGAAAGCCAGTATCACATCTTCTGTATTATTGGCCGATAATTTTATGTAGGTGTATAATAAATCTCAACCAAATATAACGAGTCAGATTGATAGCGGATACTTAGCGCAAATAGCCGAAAACCGAAAACGGCTCATTCCGATTATTGAAACAATTAAATTATGTGGACGTCATGAATTGGCTTTGAGAGATACGTGCGACTCAGGTCCTATAAAAATCAATGATCCTGAGCCAGAAACAAATGATGGAAACTTTCGTGCTATCGTACGGATGAGAAGCAGATGTGGACACTCAAATCTAATGAAGCACATGGAAAATATGACGTTGAACGCTACCTACCTAAGCCCGACCATACAAAATGAACTTATTGCAATTGTGGTGAAATAGTCCAAAAAAAAAATTGTGCAAGAATTGAATACTGCGAAATTTTTTTCAATCCTTGTTGACGAAACTTCTGATGTTTTACAACAAGAACAAATGTCCATTTGTGTGAGATACGCCGAGCCAAAAGATAATGTATTTATATTGCGTGAAGATTTTTTAACTATTGTAACAGTTGAGAATACAAAAGGAAAGTATTTAGCTAATGCAATTTTATCTGAATTGAAATTTTTGGGAGTAGATTGCGAATACTTAATCGGACAAGGATAGGATGGAGCTTCTTCGATGAAAGGAAGTTTTAAAGGTGTGCAGGCAGTAATTCGTGAGTCTCATCCAGAAGCCTTATACGTCCATTGCAGCTCACGTTCCTTTATCTCTGGCTCATTCTTGCCAAGTTCAGCCTATTCGGAATACTATTGGAATTATAAAATCCGTTGGAAATTTCATCAAGTCCTCGGCAAAACGAAACAAGTGCTTGAAAGAGAATACTGAAAAAAACTTCCCCGAAACACAATGGAAAAACCTTACGGCAATGTGCGAGACCCGTTGGATTGAAAATGATGATGGGTTGTTAAGATTCAAGGAAATCTATGAAGCTATTGTTGATACACTAGACGACTTGAGCACTGACATGGATTGTGAAACATCGTCAAAGGCTAATTCTTTTCTGAGATCAGTCATTTCAAGTGATTTTGTTATAAGCTTATGTTGCTTAGGAATGTTGTTCCCATACACAGTGACACTATGCAAAATACTTCAATATCCCATTTGCGATTTGGCAGCAGCTTTACAACATGTCGATTTAATCATGAAGACTATTGAAGATATTCGCCAAAATATTGATTCAAAATTTGCTAAACTTTTCCAGAATGCACAGAATTTGCTCTGTACTGTAAACGAAGAGATTAAAATTCCGCGAATGGTATCAAGTCAAGAGCATAGGGCAAACAACAACACAAAAGATCCTGAAACTTATTTTAGAATTACTATAACGATTCCACTTTTGGATGATTTCATTGATCAGCTTCAGTCGAGATTCCAATATCATAAAGCCACATTATCATTTCTCAACTTTTTAATTCCTTTTGTGTGTTGCAAAGAACAAATCAATAATAAATATCAAGAATATTCCTTTGAGTTCTATAAAAAAGATTCAGAATGAGACTTTGTGAATGCTGAATTAGACGGATAAAATGGCTGGAAGAATCTGAACTAGATCGACCAACATGTGCTATAGAAGCTCTCGGAGAATACAACCAGTCCTTATTTTCAAACATTCACAAACTTTTAAAGATCTTGGCGACACTGCCTGTTTCCACATCCTGAGGGGACTTTCTCTTCCCTGAAACGACTCAAAACTTATTATTTAAGAAACTCCACAAGCCAGGAACGACTAAATGGTTAGGCGTTAATGTCAATCCACCGTAGAATCGACATCGACATCAAGGAGGTAATTGATTTGTTCGCTGCAAAGAAAGCTAGAAAAGTAAATTTGATTTTGTAAAAAATGTTAATATTTCTGTAATGGTTTTCTAATAAATATATATGATCATGTAACACCATTTTCTTTCTTTCGTTCATTTTTATATTTCATGTTTTTCTACTGTTCCACCAAACCAAACCCCCCCCCCCCGAATTTATTTTCTGGCTACGGCCTTGCATAGAAAGTTTAATTTCTCATTTTTCATGATGATCTCTTACCACATAGTACACCGGCTACATCCATCAGTTCATTTCATTTCGTTCATAAAACTGATAATTTCATTTATTCATTGAAAGGTGAAAATAAACAAAAATTCTGAAAGTAATACAATAGTATAAACAGAATACAAAATAATGCAGCACAAATATGGTGTTACCATAAACATATACAAATACAAATTTAATTGAGTAAATGAGTAAGTAAGCAAGTCATTTTGGTCTCACCATCTTTTTTTTAAAGTAACATCGCTTTCTTTAACTAAAAAACAAAGAATTGGACGTAGCTTACAGAACAAATAATAATTTTAGTAAATCCATCAAAAACAATAAAGATCAAACTCCAGTGTCTCATAGATAGGGAGTATAAGTTGGCTTTTGGTTTTTGTCTAAAATGTTAAATCAGACAAACTGGAAGAACAGTTTTCAAAGGAATAAAAGAGCATAGAAGTAGTTTTTTGAATGGAAAGACCAATTCAACAGTTGCAAACCATATTTTGAGAGAGGGGTACGAGTTCAATCATGACTTATTCATTTGGAAGGTGAATGTTCAAATTTTGTGGTCTATGTACATTCGATTAACTATTTTTATAATTTTTTATGTTGCTACACTCGTCTTGAACATATTTTCACAGTTTCAGCTGTTAAGCATGTTTAGTATGTTGGTCAGAGGCATAAAAGTTAGATGGCAATTTTCTGCTATGGATCAAAGAATTTGCATAAAATTTTGTGTAAAAAATGGAATTGAGTGCTCAAAATGTTGAAAGTGGCATACGGTGAATGTACTCCGAGTCATAAAAATGTTTACAAGTGGTACAAGTTTTTCACAGAAGGTCGAGAAGATGTGAATGACTACACTGCCCTGGACGCCCCAGCACATACACAACAGATGGAAATGTTGAGAAAGTGAACAAAATTATTATGGAGAATGGTGGAATCATTATTGGAGAAGTTGATGAGGAATTGTTGAATGACGTCAACTGCTATCCAATTTCCTTAAAAGGTTCATAATTGGTAAGGAATGATGAGTTTATAGTTATGACATTGAAACTAAAGTCCAATTGTTCCAATGGAAGAGCCCAGGAGAGACAAAACCAAAAAAAGCACGCTAAGTTTGATCAAATGTCAAGATTTTCTTCACTGTTTTCTTCGATTACCATAGCATAGTGCATCAGGAGTTCTTGCCACATGGTCGTAAGGTCAATAAGGAGTATTATATTGAAGTTATGCGCTGCTTGCAAGAAGCAATACGAAGAAAACGTCCAGTATTGTGGAAAAACGATTCGTGGCTTTTACATCACAATAATGCAACTGCTCACTTGTCATTGCTTGTTCATATTTTTTTGCCAAAAAACAAAACCGTCGTCATTCCTCAGCCAACGTTTTCACCAGATTTTTCCCACTGCAACTTTTTCCTGTTCCCAAGATTGAAGAGACCCATGAAAAGACAGCGTTTTGCGACGATTGAGAAGATAAAAATCGAATTGCCGAGAGAGCCCAAGGACATACCAAAAAGTACATATTAGAATTGTTTCAAGGATTGGTAAAAACCCTGGCACAAGTGTATTATATCTGAGGGGGACTACTGTGAAGGGGACAAAATAGAAGTTGATGAATAAATGAATATTTTCTGTGAAAAATGAAAATTTTCCTCATTTTTAGAACAGACAGCTTATCATTCAATATATGGAAAGACACGTCACATTAAAAAAATAAATTGGTCTTATGATACAGCCGAGTTTGTAGTTACCTATAATACATAGCAACTGGTAATACATAGTAAATAAATAGCAACTGTTAATTTGCATAAATTGCAACGTCTACAGCACAAAGTAACCCAAGATCCCAGAGCCATCAGACCTACATCTTTTATCAAAGCTAATGGGAAAAAGCTTTTTGGCTCTCTATTCCTTTATCTTTATGCAATAAATGTGGGAAACTTCTGAAGGAAGGGATTTTCTCACAGATACAATGTACTTATATCTAATATTTTGTCAACAAAAATTAAAAAGAAGAGTCCTTTTTAAAGATATCTATTTTTGACATCATACCTTGAGAGAATGCATTGAATATCAACATTCTAAGATCAGGTCGCTGACACTTGAAAATCGCCATGTTTTGACATTCAATTGATAATACTTACTAATATATTGACTCTTTATAAGAATCTCCAATCAAATTGTAATTATTTCCTAGAAGAAGCAACTTGTGAACCCTCTTGCCAAGTTCTGCATCTCGCAGATGATTTCTACAAATATCCATTGCAGTGACGAAGAAATTAACATCACTGATATCTCTAATGTTGTGTTCTTTATTCTCTACTTGGGTCATGATATCATGCAGTATTGTACTTATTGCCCCCCCTGGAAAATGATTAAATTAATAAAATTCTAAATCAAGTACTTCACATTTCTTCTCATAGTATTAAGTTCAAACATAAAACACACTTTTTTGAAATTTCATTTTTTCAAGGTACTTAACTTGAAATTATTGTTAGTGTATTTTTTGTTTAAAGTTTTGTATCGACATCATCAACATTTTTAATTGGCGTTTTTATACAAATTTTCAGATTTCACATGGTGTAAAAAGTAAATAATTGGTTTATGATGGACAATAATACAAAAACCTAAAGGTTATTTTTACTTTTTATTCGACAAGAGTCTTGAAGTCACAAAAAAACATCATTCTCACTTATAGGACTTACTGAACTACATTGTAATATGATAATAATAAGGGTTGTTTCAAAAGTTTTGTCCGTTTCAATATCATGTGTTTTTGTAGCTCTATATCTCAATAAATATTTATTCTACTGTGTCGTGGTATATACTGATCGATGAGAGAATTTTGACCTCTATACATTGACACTGTTCATTTTTTCCATGAATTCTACAGTGATAACCTGTAAATTTTACTTGATTTTTCAATGTTCACCTAAACTCATGTCTTTTTAATGTTTGTTAATAAGATACTTATCATTCGACAATAAAGCATATATTGATTGATTGATTGATTTAGCAATAATAGTGTTAATGAACACACTGTTTGACGTTAGATTGCGAAATTTGGTTCTGGAGATTTGAGTTCGAAGATGAGCCCCCAAGTGGTTGGCCTACGGTAATCCAGGACGAGGATTTGAGGAACCTGGTGGAGACTAACCCATCACAAACAGTATGTGGGATGTCGCAAGAACGGGGTATCAGGTCCCATACGATTTTTGATGAGCTTGAAAAGTGAGTGCCCCATGATTTGAACGATCGACAGGAATTGTTTCGTTTCACAAAGCACCGTCTGAAAAGCAAACCAATTGAATGTCGAAGTTCTGGCCCACCACCATACTCCCCAGACCTCTCGCCAGCTGACTACCAAATTACTTACTTGAATAACTTTGCTAAAATAAATTAACAAGATATTCCAATTGATTTATGTAATGATCAATTCTCAATTATAGTAGCTGGAAGTCGTTGTAAGTTAATTTTGAAAATAGGAAACAACCTTTTGAATAATACATAGATATGAATATATACCTTGGGCCATAAAGATGGCGGCGAATGAGAAGGACGATTTAAGTGTCGTCTGCAAATATTGTGCATCTAAAGTAAAAACTTCTATAAAGTGTACAAAATGTGCATCTGAATACCATCCCAGTTGTTCGAAGAGAATAAAAAATGTTAAATTATGTGACGTGGGCTTGATATGTTGCCAAGAAGCTGTAAGTGTAATCAACTCTGAGGACATCAGTCGTGAAACTAGTGCATCAAATTGGGATCTATCAGAAGAATTACCAAGTTCGGATGAGAATCCACTGAACAAAAAAATAATTTATCTGAAATCCTTAATCAAACATAAGGATTTTATAAAACATGAACTACAAGAAAAAATTCAATTACTACGAGAAAAACACAACACCAGTATTCCAAACAGCTCGCCAGTAGTTTCTTTATCCAGTCCAAGTAAAAAAGGACACACACAAAAAAAGTCTATTGTTGTCAATGGCAAGGCATCTACAGCCGTGCCTGCAATCCCGGGAGTGTCTAAGCATCCGAGTTTTTTCCGAAATCAAACACAAAATAAAAACAACAAAACTAAAAAAGGCCAGATCATTACAGCTGAACAAATTAATGCGGCCATCACGGAAGCAAAAACTAGCTCTATTGCAGAAAGTCTTCAACATGCCTATCCTGCTGAAGGAGCAAACACAGATAAAAGTGGTTGGACACAAACTCACCATAGGAGGAAACGTCGTTTTCTAGTTAGTAAAACTGAACAAACATGCAAGGTTGAAACTGTTCCAAGACTGGTTTCTCTCCACATTACCAGGCTAAACCTCAGTACTAAATTAGAAGAACTGTAGAAATTTTTGGAACCTAATCTATCAGTGGTTGAATGTGAATTCCATCCTTCTAGAAGATCTGACATTTATTCATCAGTAAAAGTCACTATAAAGCGGGAATACCTAAAAAATGCATGGAGGCGAGAGGTGTGGCCTAACGATGCACTAGTATAGTTTTTTGCGAGGAAGAAGATGCCAGTTACAGGATCCTCATCAGCAAGTGCAATCCTAACATCAGAGAAAGTAAACATCGAGGAAGAGCATATTAAACAAAGAAGGAGCTATGACTTAAGCATATTCCACCCAAATATAAGAGCACTCTCGAACAAAATCGAGAGGCTCGATGTATTTTTAGATGATCATCTATATGACATTGTATGCATAACAGAACATTGGCTTGATCTTCAATGTTTAAAATTATGTAACCTTAATAACTATAGGCTGGTCTCTCACTACAACAGGGATAGGAACATGCATGGAGTAGCTATTTTCACCAATACTAATAAAAACACGATGGTAAGACAATTGAATCTTAACAGGTATTGTATCGAACGGCACATAGAAGTTTGTGGTATTCAACTGGCTATGTCAAACACAGCTATTGTTGCATTGTATAGATCATCGTGTATCACGGACTATTCTGTGTTTTTTGACAAACTTGAGGAACTTCTAACTCATATGTCTGAGAAATTTAGTCGATTGATTGTCTTGGGTGATTTTAACAGCTAGTCCCATGAATTCATTGGGACTAGCTTCCACCATTCACGAAAATACCAGAGTTGAAAATCATTCAAGCAGTTGTATTGATGATATTCTAACAAACATAGAAGAGGGAACATACAAAACAGGGGTAGTTGACCCCTGCCTTTCTGATCATTATGGTCAGTTCATAATTGTAGGAAATAATAATCCAGAAAGGGATCCCATACCCCCTCAAAGATATTTCACCCAAAATTGTCTGAAGAAAGTTAAAGAGTCTTTAGATGAAATAAAATGGGACATCTTCAATGCTCACAGTTCCATAGAGGTCATGACCAGTTCTCTACTAGGCTGGTATGCAACTCTAATACAGATACATTTTCCTATAAAGACCTTACCTTCTAAATTTAAACCAGCGACATGCTGGATTAACGATCACATTTGGAATTTAAAAAATAAAGTTCAAGCGCTGAAAACTAGGTATGAGGTTACAAAAGATCCCAGGCATAAACAGGCATTTTTAACCTTAAATGGAGTATACCAGAAAGAAGGACTTTCAACTCTGATAATAAAATTCGTGATGGGTGGAAACTACTCAACCTTGAAATAAATAACATAAAAGCAAACAGACGTGATCATAAAATTACTGCTAATGAATTCAATTCATACTTCTCCAACGTGGGTACAAGCCTCACGAAAAAACTTTCGACAAACAATTCACTTGCTAGCTCCGTCAAGCCAAAAAATGCTGTATCATTTTTCTTAGAAACTATCACATACACTGAGGTTGTTAATGCAATCTCTGATTTAAAAAAATCCAATTCATTTGATAAATACAATTTGAATAGCAAACTGATAAAGGAAACTGCTTCAAATATCATACTCTTACCTTTTTATTCAATACATGCATAGAGAAAGGTCAGTTTCCTGATGAATTGCTAGAGTTTTTCCTATCTTTAAGAAAGGGGATGAAGATGTTATTGAAAACTATAGACCCATATCAATAATTCCCATCTTTAAAAAATTTTTTGAAATTTTGTTAAAAAATAGACTTTATACATATTTTTCTAATAATAAACTATTCAATCCAAACCAATATGGTTTCATGAAGTCTTCCTCAACTACACAAGCTCTAAAAAAAGTTGTCGACTGTATTATAAATGATTTTGAGGAAGGAAAACATACAGCAGCTGCACTGTGCGACCTGAGTAAGACATTTGACTGTGTGTCGCATACTATTCTGGTTCATAAATTGGAAGATTATGGAGTAAAGGGGATTGCCCTCTCTCTCTCCAAACAGACAACAATGTGTTTCCTTGGATTCTAATAATACATCAGACCTGTTAAATTGATGTGGAGTGCCCCAAGGCTCAGTGTTGGGTCCTCTTTCATTTATTATTTATCTAAACGACCTCTTCACCTATATGAATCCGTATGGATGCATTGCATTTACAGATGACACAACCATCATAAGCTCTCATAACCTTGCCACTGAGCTGGATAAGGACATAAAAAATGTGCAAGGAAAAGCAGAAACTTGGTTTAAGAACAATAACTTAATGTTAAATAAAACACAAACAATTTTCTTTTCCTTAAGTGCTAACGTGTCCTTACATGCCAACACAAAATTGTTGGGTGTATATCTGGATGATAAGTTGAGCTGGTCTGTTCACATTGACCAACTTTGCCTAAAAATTTCCAAATACCTGTTTCTGCTTAGGAAGTTGAAACACATTCTCAGTACACATGCTCTATTAACAGCATATCATGCGTTCTTCCATTCACAGTTATCGTATTGCACAATCCTCTGGGGTAATAGTGCCCACTCTAATAAAGTATTTATGATGCAAAAAGGCAATAAGAATTATCTCTGGAGCGGGATACAAAAATTCATGTAAACCTCTCTTCTCATCCTTGAAAGTTATGACTCTACCTAGCATTTATATATATATCACTCCTTATTGGAAATACATAATAAGAAAAACGATTACACATTAAATGCTGACTTTCATAGATTCAGCATACTAATTAGACCACACAAATTTAGACTCCAAAGGTCAAAGAACAATTTAATCGATGTTAATCTTTATAACTTGCTACCTTCTTGGGCCAAAGAGCTAAATTCCCACAAATTTAAAAAACCATGAAAACTTAACTGATAACGCTTTTTACTCTATAAAGGAATATATAGATCATGTGCCTGTCCTGTTACCTGTGAAATGAGAGACCAGTTCAGCATTGAGATGACTTCACATTAAGATCACTTACACTGTATTGTCGCAAATTTTCCTTCTCTTCTTGAAATGTTTTGATGCTTTTATTTAAATATTATTTTGACACTGACAATGTTTTATTATTGTGTATATTTTAATAACACAGTTTCAATATCTGTATTGTATCTAATATATTATGTGTGTTTTTTTATATACAATATGACGAAATGGACGAATCTTATTTGTGCTTTCTAAATGAACGATGAATGTACACCTAAAAGATTAATAAACTATCTATCTATCTATCTGTCTACTTAATATCTTTTTATGATAATACACAACCAATTTATCCATGTATGATGATGAATGAGAATTTCCACATACAATATAAAAAAACTCTTTTCATTTTACTTACTTTCTTTGCAGTAGGTTATCAGAACAAAATACCAAGAACCCAGGGATGGCTCGATCCCCAATTCCTTGAACTCTCGCAGTACTTTCAAAACTGCTTCTTTTGGACTTTGGCCACTACCCATTGTACTCAGAGAATAGAGTATGGCATTAAGAGTTCCTAAATTAGGTTTAATGCCAGCACTGTTCATATTACTCAACAGATTTGTAATAAAACTCCACTGCATATCATGACTTTCTTTCAAGAAATTAGCTATACTTATGAGTGAGTTGTAGGTGTTGGTATGCAAAACCAACCCCTTCTGCTGTGCTTCTTCAAATAGTTGCCATGCTCTATCAACACTGTAATATTTGCACATTCCTTGGATTAGTGCTGAATAGGATTCAGCAGAAGGATTTTCCATGCTGATAAACAATTCTTCTGCAAAATTGGAATCTCTAAAAAAGAAAGGATTAGATGGCTAACATTTTGTAAAAATAATGTAAAATGTAAAGAGCTAAAAGTCACTTTTTCATTTAAAATGTACTCCTCTTCAAAAATCAAATTAAATTCAAACAAAATTACAGATACATTCATTTTTTTGAAAAGTGATTCTCAATTTGTTTTGACCAGTCAGTCAGTTTTGGAAGTTGTTGAGCTTTTAATGCCATGGTCCATTATATCAGTATATTCTGTCGGGTTTCAGGGCCATCGTAATCCAAAAATAGGCACTAGAAATGCAATACTCTTCTCGACGCGCGTTTCATCAACCAAGTTGGCGTCTTTGGGAAATGAGAAAACTAATTCCTAACTCTGAAACTCTCATTTTATGTCTAGTAGGGTACACTTCCATTTTACAATGCACATCAATAATTGCAAAGTCTAACTATCCCAATAGAAGAGCCCAGGAGAGCCAAGACAAAAAAACGCACGCCAAGTTCGATCATAAGTCAAGGTTTTGCTAACTGTTTTCTTCAATTACTGTGGTGTAGTGCATCAAGAGTTCTTGCCACATGGTCGTACGGTCGATAAGGAGTATTACGTTGATATTGTGTGCGAGAAGCAATATAAAGAAACCGCCGGTATAGGAATATAGGCTTTCATGGCTGGCGTTTTAGATGGTTTTCGGGTTTTGCCATGGTCTTCTTTGGTTATAATCTCCAAACGTTTTGACTGCAACTGCGGCAGTCATCTTAAGTGGCGTGGTCGAAGTACTCTTCTTGAAGTGTCAACTGTATTATGAAAAAACAATTCATAGCTTTTTGCATCACGATAATTCACCTGCTCACTCGTCATTGCTTGTCAAAAACAACACCTTAATCGTGCCTCAGCCCCCATACTCACCAGTTTTGCGATGATTGAGGAGATAAAAACCGAATAGCTGAGAAACTTCGACAACATACCAAAAACTGCATATCAGAACAACTTCGAGGATTAGAAAAAACGCTGGCATAATTGTATTATATCTGAGGGAGACTACTTAGAAGGTGACAAAATATAAATTAATGAATAAATTGATATTTTTTGAGAAAAATTAAAATTCACATTTTCTCAACAAACCTTGTATACTGATTTTAAAAATATTATTACGATATGTTCTCGTTTTTTCATGAACTTTTTCCAGGAGTATCCAGCCAAAAATGACAACGATAGTTACATTTTCATGTGAGCTACCTGAATATTGAATCCTTGTAGTGGTGTTCATAAGCCTTGTCGCAGGAGGCATACGACTCAGTCGTTTTTCAATGAAGTCTGCATTTCTGGTTTAAAATCTGTTTTTCCGTTAATCAGCTGTCGTCCCCATACGAACGTGTGATACCTTTCAACGTGTGATTCTTAACACGGTTTGCATTTATGAAGATGTATCTCTGTAGTTGTTTGTAAAATAATGTTTTGCTGCGAACTGGGCAAAAAACCCAAGAGACATTTTTTGTTTAGAATGAAACAGGCTATCGGAAATAAATTTTTAAATGGTAAACAAATAATAAGACAAAAAGTTACATTGGAAATAAATTTTAGGGGTTGCGTTTTCCACCCCTCACAACCATGGGGTAAACCAAATAAATTTCTGGCTAAGTGTCTTTTTGGTAGTAAAAAACGTCAGGTTAATTTCAATATTGTAACTTTTTTAGTGCTTGTGAAAAAAATTGTTATACAAATTTTATGTACCCCCTTTAAGGGGCTGTATCTTAACAAGGGATGCTCCAATGAAATTTCTTTATATGAAAGACCCTATCTTTTTCTCAATGAGGAATCACCCCCTTAAATGTTTTACACTTATTCAGTTACACCCTGTATATTTTAATAAAAAGATTTTTGATTTATTAATACTATTAGGACCCACTAGTGCACAAGTCAAAAAATGAGTTTTGTAGGCAAGTTTTTGATGACTTTGATTTCATTTATGCAGTTTTTGTATTTATCCATTACAGACAAATCTTTTTTAATTATAAAATTAATTTAGATTGACCACATTCATTCAGAGTCATCAGAATTTTTCATTCAAAATTCATATGTACTTAGTTTATTTTTTTCATTTCTTTATTGTATTTTATATTTCGATTGTTTTTCATTTAAGAATATTGTCTTCATGAGATAATATTAGAGAGAAATGGAGATTCTCATGGTTTATCTGGGTTTGATCCTTCCACAATCTAAAAAATAAACAAGGTAAATCAATAAAGAATCTGCTAAATTGTAATAAAAATCCAACTAGAAAGTTCACCCAGAAAAGTCTTAAAATTGAATATCCAATGGAAAAAACGAAAAAACACATATACTTAGCTTGCATTAGACGGTTTTTGGAAAATAATCCCTTTCCATTCTGAAATCCAAAAAATTGATTTCTGAAAATGCTTGAAATGGAAATATGAATCAAGTAACTGATTAATGATAATAATAATAATGTATTCATCAATAAATAATAATACAAATATATTAAGTGAAGTATGTGGAGTACATTATATTTTGATGGATAAACTGATATTTCCACTGAGGGTAAAACCCTGTGTTTGGGTAAAGAATAATTGAAGAACAGGATAATTATGACAATTGAAAACAATAAACATTCAAAATTCAGTTTTGAATGAAAAAAAACACTACATAAATTAGTATAATTAAAAGAGGATTGGGTGAATAAAATGCACTAAATATAAAATAAATACAAAATAACATCTGAAAGTACAATTTTCCTATAAATGAAAGCATTTAAAATGTTTTGCACTATTCTATAAATTCACGTACTTCATTTCTTTCTATTTCTGTTAAGAATATTTTCAAATGTTTATTGAATATTTGAGGAAGAGTTCAATTAACAAAGTGTCCGGCAGGTATTGAACAATTTCAGGCTATGTAATTAAAACTTTTTTGTCCGACTGTTTTTCTCATTTTTGGAATAACATATCTATTTTTCTGTCTCGTATAGTAGGAATGAGCGAGTACTTTTTTTTTTCTTCAACTATTGTTTCACATATACTTGTACGGTATAAAGTTGCCTTAGGTCCATTACTTGTGTTTCAAAGATTAATTGAACTGTTCAGTGATTTATATTATGTAGTAACTTTTCAGGGTAAGATTTGCAGTCTGAAAATTATTACACCTCAGTTGATTTAGCTTTGTATATTCTTTAGGCTGTGGAAGGATGAAAACCCAGATACGCAGCTAGAAACATCAACTTCTACACAAAAAGTATTGCAAAGAATAAATGTAAACAAAGGTCCTTGAAAAAATGTGATTCTTTCACTTTTTCAATGATAAAAGAATTTTTAGCTCACAATGTAATTTTATACTAATTTTATACTAACTTCCAAGTTTTTCTTGCCCTTTCCTTGGATTTTGTCCCTTGTTTGAACCACCTTTCTTCAATATACTCACTAGATAGCACATCTTCCCCATTACTGTAGCATAATAATTCGAGCAATGCCTGGCAGGACCTATTTGAAACTGTAACTCCTTGGTCTTTCAAGAGCTTATAGACCAATTGAGAATCGGAAACTTCCTGATCCGAAATAGTTTTTATGAGATCCTCTTCTGTGACTTTACTGTTCTCATTATACACCATTTTAGGTAGAAATGCTTCAATAACAGGATCAGCTTCCCTGTGATTGAATAAGTCTGCGTGTTCACTCCTTATCCAATGAGCAGCTTTTCGACCAGCCTCTTGGGCCATAGCAAAGGTGCGTTTGCCGATATTTGACATAGGGATGAGATAGGGATCATCGTGGTACTTGTAATGGGCAGCTGTGGGATCTCTCGAAATGGTGCTTTCTAAAGCACGTAAAATGTCGGTAGGAGATCGTGGTATTCTCTTTGGAATTTCTATTTTTTGCTCCACATTAGATGAAGTTCTACGTGTTAAAAGATGAGATGTACATTTCATCTGTGACTGAGTCCTGAAAAAAAAAGCGCTACAATAAAATTCTCATAACGAAAGATCAGTACCTTCTCAGTAAAAAAGTAGAAACAATCATAATATGGTTTAAAAATCCAATTTATTACTACACCTCTCATAACCTATCTTCACTAAAAATTAGAATTCGATGATTTGAGGACAGGGTTGCCGTTTTATTTTCGTACTGGAACTTAAAATGAAAGGAAAAATCATTATTCCATCCTTGTTATCGAGTGACGATGAATAGGCAGGAAAACCCCAAGATTATTAGAAAAAAGGTTGTTTTGCACGAATCATCGAAATGTTTTTATATTAAATCTGGATAATTATAACATTGAATTATTTATTTGTGTTTTCTTATTCAATATTTTATAATGTTTTCTAATTTTTATTTTAGTTTTCAATATATATTCATGAACCTAATGTTGACTCCTCATATTGATCATTTGTGTTTTTTTGTTCAGTATTTCTTTAAATTCAGTTAATCCTCACTCATAAATATTTGATATTTTATGGAATAATAAAGACGATACAATGTGTTTAAACACTATCACAGACTGAAAACATCAAACATTAACACTAAGGACTAAGGATCAATTCAATTTTATGCGGAATAAATTACACAGTATGAAATATCAACGTCATAAGAGCAGGTTTCGAAAATGCCTTTAAATAACTTTTGATTTTACTAAGGTTACGTATATATTCAATGACCGGTAATAAAATTTGTAGGTATCATGTCTCTCAGCCATTTCATAACATATATTCAATATGAGAACTTACTTATGATATTTTTGTAAAATTAAACATTATTATGAGAAACATGTATTATACAACTTATGATCGAAGAATCAGGGTTAATACGTTAGGAAATGAACGTAATGATAGTAGTCTTTATTATTTAGCATAAATTATTGCAACATATAGTATTCAGTGATTATATCAAAATTGAGGGCGAAATTCAAGTCTTTTGATAATTACTGCAACAAGATTTGCTGTTCCACTGAACCTCTGTACTTATTACATACGAGGGAGGTCTGAAAAGTTTCCGACCTAAACATAAAGATACCATCACTCGTAAAATAAAAGCTAGTGAATTTCGTTGTTCATCTCTTGAGAGTTTTAGCCATTTTGGATGCACAGTTGTTATGTAACAGTCGTTTGAGTGAGTTGATGTGGTTGTTTTTAAGAAAATTGACAAAACCGGGTATCGAGCTGTCATTAAATATTCGTTTTTGAAAGGCAATACGCCTACGCAAATTAGAGATGAGTTGGATTCTGTGTATGGGGATTCTGCACCACAATTTACCACAGTGAAATTTTGGGCAGCTGAATTTAAACGTGGCCGTAAGAGCTTGGGAGACGTTTGGGACGTACAAAAACTGCAACTAACGATGAAAACATCGCCAAAGTTCACTAAATGGTGCTAGACGACTGCCGAATTGAAATGAGAGAGATAGCAGATGTTAGAAGAAAGTGTTTGTCACATATTGAATCAACATTTAGGCATGAGAAATCTCTCCGCGCGTTTGGCACCGCGTTTGCTCACGTTAGACCAAAAACGTGTTCGAATGAACATTTCCAACGATGTGTTGCTGCAGTTTAGGCGCAATAAATTCGAGTTTTGACGCCGAATAATTACTGTAGATGGTACTTGGATACACCATTATATACCCGAACCAAAAATACATTCCAAACAATGGACTGCAAAGGGGGAATCGGCCTAAAAAAGCTAAAACGCGAATATTTTCTGGGACAGTCCCGGAGATATTTCATTCGATTATCTTCTGTAATAACTGCCATTGCGATAGTTAACATTTTATTCATAAAGATCGGGGTCGGTCACCCGGTATTTCGATATCGATATTTGTCCAACAGAGTAAGCGTTGAATTTAATTTATGGTTGTGATCTTTGGCGGCATCATGAATGGTTGTGTTTCGTTCAAAGTAGACTAAAAAAACGTATCCTGTTGATAAGTTATAATACTGGGAACGCAAAAATGCAAGCTATGAGTTTGCATTTCAGCTTCGTGGACAGGAAGTTCGGCCATATCTCAATAGGTGGGCTCGAAAATTTATTTAAAATAAAAACTGACCAATGACTTCGATGAAAAGAAGACATATAGGTCTTGAGTAGGAAGGGTTGTGGAAAAATTCGGGAATATTAAGCAGAGATCAGACCAGTCAGGGAACGGTACAAGGTAGGAGTGTTAGAAACAGTTTTTCGGATTTGGGAATTAGTCGGTCGATATGACAGGTGCAGAAGAGGGTCGCGAAACGGTCGCGAAAGTCAGTAGTTAAAGGGATTAAGTCAAAGGGGATTTTACGATAGAGAAGTTGCGAAAAGAGTCCTTGGCGAAAGAGAGTTGTGAAAGTTAATTGGGAGACAGTTGCGGAAGAGAGTATCGGAAAGCCGGTCGCGAAAGTAATTTACGATAAAGAAGTTGCGAAAGTCAGTTGAAAAGTCAGTTGCGAACCCCCATGTCGGTTAAGAGACAGAAGATGTCATTTTAATTTGGTAATAATTGTTTTACTGTTGTTGCGTTTTGGAAGGTCAATAAATCACACTACACCTCTTTCATATGTGTTAATAACAGCAATTAGAACACATGGATTTGAAACTAAAAAATAGTATGGCGGCCAGGTAATTTCAAATAATCATTTTAGAATTTCCGCAAAAACTCGAATAGAGTAATTTAGGTTGTCGTGTAAGTGGGAATTATACCTTATAAGAGAATATATAACATTTCACAAGTTGATAAAGAGATAATTCTTGTTTGACAATCAGCTAATTGAGATGTGCTTTGTTATAAAATTTTGATCTTACCTTTCGAACATTTTTGCTTATTGTTTTGTTGGAGTTTCATGTTGATATTTTAATACAGTTCATTGTTATGGTCTATGAACATACCCGTTTATTCTTTTTATTGGTTTTGTAATATAAGTCTAATCTGAAGTTTGTTGTTTTTTAATGACTCACAATTGGGCAAGTCCCGCATCATTTCAAGGTAGTTGAAAGGCCTTTAGCCTTAAGTATCAGCCTCCTGCCTCATTCCAGAGTGGATCTCAGAAGAAAAACAATCTCAAAAAGGTACACGTGTGTAGTTAGGTTTCAAAACGACCGGCCCTCGTGCGATCGGCACGAACCCTACAGCTTTTTCGGACCTGCCTTGATATTCAAAATTTGATGCGGAGAAATTTGCGTCTAGTGACAGCCGCTGCCAAAATAATTTCAGAAAATAAATTAAGAAAAACCTGTCTCACCAAGACAACGCACCGTCTCACACCTCAGCGGTGTGAGACGTTGGCGAAAATCTACGAATTACGGTTTGAACTACTTGATCATCCAAATCTAGCCCCAAGTTATGAGTTCTTTCATTTAGAAATTGCGCTCGGAGGGACAGAGGTTTTCGTCAAATGAAGAGGGAACCACCTTCATGAACAATTATTTTGCAGAGAAAAACGCAGAGTACTATTTGAACGAGTTACATCGCTGGGAGGAGTGTATTAGATTTGAAACGAGATTATGTTGCGAAATGAAAAAAGTCGGATAATATTTTTTGTAATTGGTTCTGAACGTCTTGAAGTACTTTTGTTATTCTGATATATCTGGTTATGAAGGTCATGAATTTGGTAACTGAATGGCCGTCTGAATGAATCCATTTTGAACAGGGGTGATGTCAATAAGCCTTTGTGCTTATTATTTGAGTTATATATGCCTATTCGATACTTGATTCTCCTATGAAGGTAAGAGGGATTTTTTGTAGTGATTATTTTATGAAAAAGGCAGATTGAATGGAATTTTTTCTGTTGTTCTAATTAGGCCATTTTATAAGCAGAAGTTCATGATGTCCTCCGCCTTGTCGACGAAGACCAACTATTAATGAGGCAGCAGTTCTGAAATTTTTTAATATTATTTTTATATTGGTCATATTAACATCATGTATGTGATTACATTAGTGTTTTTCTCAAACTCTGTGATGTGTCATAACTAGAATTAAGAAAGCTTTTTCAAAACGTGAACCGCTATAAATAGTCATGGACAAGTTCTCTGGAACTTTTTTGAGTACTCTCTTTTAGCCATCTAGTTACGCTTGATCTCAATGTATTTATTATGAAAGGAAATGCAGGAAATAAATGTTTCTTGTCATTATTATTTTCAGTTTTATTGTTATTATTATCATTATTCTAATATTGAATGTTCAAATTACACCCAAAAAATCTGTATAATTGAACAAGAAGAATATCAGCGATACGCAAGTTATTTTCATTGCATTTAATGTTAAAAGTAAACAGTTTTTGTGAATACATTTCAAAGAAGAATATGAGAACGTTGAAAATTTTAATAGAATTACTGCTTCTAATCTAGTTCCTCCACCATTATTTTGAGAGGCAAGATTATGAATGTATCAAATAGGAAATAAGAGTATTTTTCTTCATTGACGTCATGAACGTGGCGGCCGATATATTTGACATTTCGTAATCCCCCTTAGGTATAAGAATCCTGGGCAATTACAACAAAATCTCTGTTTGACGGTGGTTGACAATGTTCCGTGGTGTATTTCATCAGTTCGGACTTCCATTGTCTAATATAATATAAATTGATTTGAAATTCCTGAAAAAATATTAAAGATTAACCGAAAATAACAATTTTATTTGAACAAAAAAACTGAAATTACAAAGAAATAACATAAAACCAAACAACAACCAAAAAATAAAAATTGAAATATTAATAAAAGCTGAAAATTAAAAATTATTATTAACAAAAAATGAAACATAACAATCAAAAGATTTCAAACCAAGTTATGTCATGTTTCGATTGTTAGTATCCACAATCGTTTTAGGGTGATAACTGGACTTATTCCTTCGAGATCCGACTATTTATAGGCCATTCGAGTGCTTCACCTATCCCCGCTTCTCTCTCTCTCCGCTTCATTGGTTTTTAGCGGGAGATGACCGTTTGGCGGGAATTGGTCGTTTTTCGCTTGATTAAAGGTTTCTATATGTTACGTATCTCTACGCTAGCTTGACTAAATGCGTTGTTGGCTTCTTTGAATTTTTTGCTGAATCAGTGTTCCTCTTTGTGGATGATTTCAGCTTGAGCCCACTTGATATTATGTTGATGAGTCCAAACATGCTCTGCTATTCCGGATTTGCTGGTTTCTCCTCGCTGTGTGTGTTTCTTGTGCTTGGCAATGCGAACTTTCAATGACCTCTTAGTTTCACCGATGTATGATTCTCCGCACTCGCAGGGTATCCGGTAAATGCAATTCTTGGAATCGTAGTCCCCGTTTGGTGACCTGGTTTTCGTGAGGCTGCTATGTATAGTGTTCCCAGATCTGAAGCAGGTTCTGATGTTATACATTGACCCAATCCTTCGTATCCTTTCCGATAATCCTCTGATGTAGGGAAGTACAAGTACTGGTTGTGGAGGCTTCTCTTCCTTGTGGAGCTCTTGTTGTCTTCTAGCTGAAGCCTGTTCTACCATCACTCCGGAGTAACCATTCCGTTGAAGGTCGTTTTTGATGATGCCTAGTTCCCTTTCGAGACCTTCCTTTGTATTACAGAGCCCGAAGGCACGGTCTAGTAGAGTCTTGATGATTCATCTCTTAGTCGATTGATTGTGGATGGATTTCAGATACTGTCCTGTGTGAGTGGGTTTTCGATATACAGATGTCAAATGTTAATGTTGTCATAAACTTTCAAAGCAAATGTACGTGGTTTGTTCTTTCCTCAAAATCAAAATTAAATCTTTCAGTGGGTTTACGAAAAGTCTTGAACAACACACGGCCGATACGCAAATAACGGATTTGGTTGTTGTTGTTATAATCAGAGGCGCAATCGAGGATTATAGTATTCAACCTCATCTGTTATTTGCTACATATCAGACTTGTAACGTTAATAAACATTTCGAATGGTCCATAGAAATTATAATATATATCATATAAATCTATGGAATGGTTTGAAGGTGACTGACAATGTTTCATGATGAATTTCATTAGTTCCGACTTCCATTGTCTGATATTACATAACATGATTTGAAATCCCTGAAATAACTAAAAAAGGAAAATTTAAATGAAAGAAGAAGAATGAAAATTATTAGCCGAAAAAAACAATTATATTAGGTAAAAAACCTGAAATGAAATAATAGTGAAATAAAATACAAATAAAAATAGGTCACATGCATATTTTTTTCTAATTGTTCTAATCGATTATATAATGCATACAAATACTGGTGTAAGTATATTACAGTATATTACAACTGGAAACATGAGATAGATGCCAAAAACATGAATAATTAGTCAGAAAAATAATTTAAAAAATTGTATACCAAATATTGACAATTCAAACGGTCGACCATTTGGCGAGAATATGTGACATGTCGAAGTACATGTCAACAAAGCGATCCAAAGCACAGAGAAGTGAACATAGTTGATTCTATATTGTATTACTTGATAATTTCAATAAATTAAAGATGGAAAGTAGTGGAAAATTAGTTTATAAGTACTGCATAGTTTCAAAGTGCAACAATACAACGAAAACTGCTCCTCAAAAAGTATTTTTTCTTGTGCCGAGGAATGCAAACATTCGATTAAAGTGGTGTAAAGCTATAAAAAGGGACGAATTTGAGAAACCGAAACTATCTGCAATGAGCTGCTTATTGTGTAGATAGATCACTTTGATGTAAGTATTTTTATATTTACATAGGTGTATTTATATTTAGTGTCATAGTCTAAAACACTAATAAACATATTTACTCCTCGAATATAAAACCTTTCTGACTGCTGTTATTCTTCATTTTCAGGTAGAAAAGGATACAGAGAACTTCATTCAGTACCAAATAATGAATAAACAACAAGTGGTACCTGTTACATTACGTCTACGTAAAGGTATTGTGTCCCACAAATTTCAGTGTCAGAAAGTGAATAGGCCAAAACCTGTGAGAGAGGCTGTTCTCAAAAGACAAAGACTTGGTTGCTTCAAGAGACTATCAGAAGCTGCTCCCAGAGAAGTTATGGAAGAAACTAATTTATGTGTAGGCCCTGTGGATACAGCAGATAAAACAATCACCAGAGAAATAAATTATTGTGAAGCTGGTCCTAGTTCATCTTCACACGATGTTTTCTCAACAGAAAATAAAAGCCTTGCTTGTGACAAAGCTGTTCAAGTTAACACAATGAAGCCAACGACAAAAAAATATAGAAGCAAAGGTGTTCAAGTCTACAGCAAGTACAAAACATGAGGTGAAGCAGTCCAAAAGAATAGCAGCATTAAGAATTCATGTAGAGCGTGTAATAAACAGGTTGAGAAAATATGTCTACTTCCTTTGATATTTCAAAATCATGATGTGAAACACAGAAAAGCCCTTTTTTTATTTGAAAAATACATCTGCATTTGGACCTGAGCCATATATTTTGAGGATATAACATCTTTTAAAACATATTTACCTACTCATGGCTTTCTCAGATGATGGACATTTGATTTCAATACTGTAATCAATACTCTCATCATCAGGAGATGCACCAAATACGAGATAATTAGGGTTTAAGATCAAACCACACCCATTAATTTTCAGTTTCATTTTTTTTTCGACTTCTTTCAATACTTTTTTCTCTAGCAAACGCCCTCTTTTCATCGCCTCTGTGTCCTTTAATTTAATTGCTCCCATTATACTTTCACATAAAGTGCCTTCGAAAACTTTGCAATGTGCTTCTTCATGCATCTTCGAAGCAGTAATCCTAGCATTCCGTAGCTCATGCCACAGCGGACAGTCATTCTGATCAATTGTAGCTAGATTAGCTTCATTGCAAGATGATGTGTCCATCATACTCCTGCAATAGTTGATGAACTCTATGGCGTTAGCCGGTTTATTTGGTAGTGTATTTACTAAATGATGAATGGATAATTTTTCTTCTCTGCTTTTTTCCTTGTAGTATTTCATGAGTTGACTTTTCATGTGACCGATGCTTTTGCTATGGTTTATTAGAGTTGGCAGAAGGCTTCGAGTATTGGCAGATGGAGCAGGTTTGCCTTTTGAACTACTACCTAACTGTGTAGCTCTTATATACTTTAGGGTTGTGCCTATCGTGGATAATTTGGACTTCTTCCAGTAACAGTCGATACTAGTAGAGGGAGGGTCTTCGCTACGCCTGTGCAGCCAAGCTATAAAAGTTATTGCATGCTTAAATCCACCTGAAAATTAAAAATATATATAATAATTATATTTTCTGGATAAAACATGATCACATTTTGGAATCAGACTCTTATTTTTATGAAACAAAATATGTAAGTTGCAACTTGTGTTGCAACTTACATATACTTTACTAATCAATTATATGTACCTAAATGTGCTGCGCAATCTTCACATTCTGCAGAGACAATTCTCTGTTCAGCTTCATCACATACTGCTGTTACAGAGTAACACTTCTGTTTCACATTATGTTCGGGAGTAATGAGCTACACATATGTTTGCTTCCCTATTTACTTGAACATATCCAATAGCTGAATCGCCATAAGAATATCTTTCGGATCTAAAAACACAAATATTATCAGGTTAGGATAAGAAGTGATTGTAAACATTTTCTTAACACTTTCACTGCGATAGTAATAAATATGGTATCATACAGTGCGGAATTAATATTTGATCCCAATCTCATCAAAAAAGTTCCTTATATGTTACATAATGATGTCTTGATCGTAATCAAACCTTGTTTAGTGTTTGCTCATATTTTTTTTGTAAAGCGCACATGAGCGCTCTCCGCATATTTCGAACATTTTCTAATAATATGCGGAAAGCGCACTTGTGCGTCTAGCATTTTGAAGTGCTGTTTTGAAATTTTTTGAAGTACAAAAGTAAAAAATCATTAATACAGAAATAAAGTTTTATTTTTGGACGTAAAACGGGAAAATGAGATATCTAACAAAATAAAGCACAAGAAAAAACACAAAAACAATTCACGGTACGCTCTACTATGGAATTCTTGAAAACATGGCCCTGGTTTTTGTGGACACATCAAACAATGATAAATTATGTCTTTTCGAATGTTTTTTCGACGACACATACGACACTTTTTTCTAAGAGTTTTTCCTTTTTCATTCGTTATGCCTATTTTAGATGGTAAATGTTGTGAAACTTCTGGGGTAGGTTCAACTAATTTTCTGGCAATAATTTTTCAATTACTGCTAGTCGAAAATCATAGAATGATAAATTTGGTATATTAGCATATTTTCTAAATAGTAAGTAAGCATTTACCAGTAGGAGGTGAATGACGTGAAGACCCAGTTTTTTGTACCACCTTAAAGTTTTTCGCAACACTGGATCTTGACGATCCACCCCCATCATAAACTTTTTATATTTTACTATCGGCAAAGTTTTCTGTTTCAACTGTTTTCTTCTATTTTCAACCTCAACCATTTCACATTTATATTCACTCGAAATATATATAACGTCTCGTTTATCTCGCCATTTCCCAATCACTACACCATTCAAAAATTGGGCCTTATGTTGACCTGTTTTCAATTTGGCCCCCATAACTTACTTAGGTGAGTCTGCTCTATCAGCACGAAGAGTACCTGCACAAAATGTCCATTTGTTTAGTAAGGCAACAGCTAAACTATAACTGTTGTAAAAATTGTCCATATACAAGAAATGACCGCGATTCAGCATGTCGCGCATCAGGTACATTACCACCTTTTGTACGTGACCTTTGCCACTAAGTACATCAAGTTGGCCAACATATACAGTTCAATACGATTCCATTTGGTTCTGCTATTACGTATAGTTTCAGACCGTATTTATGACGTTTATTTTTAACATACTGTCTAAAAATTAAGCGGCCTTTCCATAGGATCATTGATTCATCTAATGACATGTGTTTGCCTGGATAATATACTTTGTTCATCCTGTTCCTGAAATAATCTAATATGGGTCTGACCTTATAAAGTCGATCTTCTGGCGGTGGATCATCAGCCTCTGGGTTTTGGCAAAAATGTAAACAATGCAGAATGAGTGAATAGCGGTCACGACTCATGTAATTAGAAAAACAGCTAGAGAAAAGTCTGTGTCGTTTCCAATAGTCATTTATTCTACTCATGTGTATCGTACCCATATGCAAAGTTAACCTCAAAAATATACGAAATTCAGAAAGTGTTAGATCCTTCCACTCTGTGATTCTTGCACGTTTTTTTCCACTACCCGTTGCCAGAACATCAATAGCATACAAATTGGATTGTGAAATTTTCTCTTCCAAAAACTCATCCGTAATCAACATTTTAAACCAATCATATGGATGTCCACTAAGCGGCGGATCTATCAACAATCTGTTTTCTCCTGTAAATTCAAAATCGTTCATTTCTCCAATTAGGTCCTACCACTGGTTGTCGTCATCATCTGGTGGTATAACTGCTGCATCCACTGATGATGGGAGTATTTCTGGAGTCACATCATCTAATACAGAGGTTCTGGTTGGAGGTCTCTCAGCAATTTCTTCAACATCAGCTAATATAATAAATATACTTATCGTGCATAAATAAATGAACTCCTGAATTTTCTACTTACAGTCATCCGTTTCATGATTTTCTACCATTTCTTCAGTTTCGGAAAGATCTACATCTGAATTATAAAGAAATTCCATCATTTCCTCAACGGTAAGGTTTTTATGATATTTAACGCTAATTTTTCTACGTTTATGTGTATACCCTGAGGGCCCTGGTACATTTAGTTCATCCATTTCGAAGAAATAACACAAAAAATAAGCACAGTGCACAAATAAATAAAACGTATTAGATACAGTGATATTATTATGCCTTCTGCCTTCTGTAAACTACCAGCAAACTGATGCCACCTAGGAGCGAGAGGTTTATTTATCTGAGAAACGAATATTGTAGGAATCTTCTTCATATATGTCCAAATATGCGGGAAAAATGTCATAACCTAGTCGTAAGTGCGGAACTTTCTACGAATTTATAATTTACAGGACTCATGACGCTAGTTACAGTTCGATAACCCCTTACATCAGCAGGATATTGTTCGATGACCCGAAGACGACATCAATTATTTTGCTGATATCTGCAAAGTCGGCAATAATTTATATATAAATAGGTGCATTTGATTTGTAATAGCCCGTACTTACATTTCATAGTTATTAGTTGTTACTCTGTTCAAATAAAAAGTTTTTAAAAACCCTTTTGTGTGAACGAGAAATATAATTCGCTCAAGCGCGCCGTCCGTATATATCTATACCTAACTAAGCCGCACATGTGCGCTTTCCGCATTGAAAGTGTTTAAGAGGCCTATGGAGTGGCATCGCCATATTGAAAATCGCGAAAACACTTTGTGAAGAAATGAGATATTATATAAAAAATATGTATAGGGGAAAGTTATTGATAATGTAACGAAGAATGTCGCCAACTCATTTTTTTCCATTTATTTTTCCAAACATGTTTTTAACTTTTTATTCCTTTGACGAATTTCAAAATTTTTGAGATAGCGAAATTGTACGATTAAATATAGTCAACTTCTTTACAAAATAAAATATGAAATAATGTTTGACTAATCTAAAAAACGTGTTTTCCTTATTCAATGAATTTTCACCCGTCAAGTGCTGCCATCTAATAAAAACTGAACCCATATTAGTGCAGAGAAGGGTTTGGCAACATCGCTGTTAGCGAAACGCCCGTCGAGTGCAAATAATATCAGTTTGATGTTGGGGTAATTGATCTGTACCAGTGACGGCTCGTGCATTGTGTGTGTTTATATAGTCATAAAGACTATATAGTCTATAAAGACTATATAGTCTATAAAGACTATATAGTCTTTATGACTATATACATACAGAAAAGCCCGCTGGAGGCGCGAACATTTTTTGGGGTACTGCACCTATTTAAAGCAAAATACGTAATATTTGCATAAATGCAAACAAAAATTGTGTATTGCCGAAAAGTATATGTATAAAACTGGCCGGTTAAAAAAACAAGGAAAAAGGGTTGTCTTTGAGTTATCTATATATATAAAAGAAAGTGGTGTTAGTTACACTATTGATAACTCAAGAACGGATGAACCAATTTGGCTGAAAATTGGTGGAGAGGTAGCTTAGAATAATTAGAGGTCATCGGTAGTATAGTGGTCAGTATCCCCGCCTGTCACGCGGGAGACCGGGGTTCGATTCTCCGCAGAGGAGATAATTTTTAATTTTCATTTTGTATTTGATTTATTTTTTTATTCATGTATCCATTTGACCCCTTTCTACGGGCGGTCTCATGTTGTGATTTTCACAGATTGTTATTATGATAGTTATCTATATATATAAAAGAAAGTGGTGTTAGTTACACTATTTATAACTCAAGAACGGATGAACCAATTTGGCTGAAAATTGGTGGAGAGGTAGCTAAGAATAATTAGAGGTCATCGGTAGTATAGTGGTCAGTATCCCCGCCTGTCACGCGGGAGACCGAGGTTCGATTCCCCGCAGAGGAGATAATTTTTAATTTTCATTTTGTATTTGATTTATTTTTTTTATTCATGTATTTATTCAAATATATATACCTATTTTTTATTTTTCACGTCAATAGGNTCGTTGTCGTTGTGAGTTGTCGTTCGTATGGGGGCGGCAGCTGATTAACGGAAAAACAGATTTTAAACAGATTTTTAAAGTTCATATAACTCAAGCATGCAATCTCTCAAATCATTTTTAAACATAAAATTTAATGAATCTGAAGGAGCCTTGCAATTTTGAAGCATTTGAGGGTCGCTGTTCATTACGATTAATTCATTTTTCAGTTGAATAACATCGAAAAATGGATACTGAACTATTGAGTCGTTATAAAGTTTTTTGGGAAAATCTTTGGTATAGGACGAACATTTTTCAAACAACAACAAATCAAATTAGTTTAATTTAAGTAAATCTTCAAATCTAATTTTGATTTGCATTAAAAAGCTGTCCAATATTTCATTATAAATCTGTTTATAATTTTGTCTCAAATCGGGTCTAAATTGGTTTTCATTGGTTTTCAGCTATTCATTTTTATTCTTTAATTTTTCAATTCTTCTTTTTTAGTTTTTTCAGGGATTTCAAATCATTTTATATACTATCAGGCAATGGAAGTCCGAACTAATGAAATTCAATAAATATATGTTTCATAGAAATGTGATTTATTTTACTTTTCGCTCATTCTACGTTATATTTTATTGTTTTCAATGAAACTCTTTGAGTATTAGTCACAGTTCATTTTCACTAATCAGTTATGTTTATCACATAAAACTTGTCGATTTGACATCTTCTATAAATTCATTCAACTCGTTTCGAATGATTTTGAAATGTGAAAAAAATGTGAACAAAAAATTACTGTATCTAGTGTTGAATCAGAATTAGTACTTATGTTGAGTGATTTCCAAGTTGAAAAGTAAGGAAAAATGATTGAACCTTGCTTAGAATCACCGAATGATATAAAAAATATATTTATGAAATTATCGAAAACGAAACGCCTCTCTTCTCGTAAACAATCATGACATGTTTTATTTTTTGTAAATGATTATCGAATGTGCCTTTTATAACTATATTTTTAAATCATTCGCTAATTCTTGTCTGGGTTCAGTGATTTTATCATACTTTTAAATTCGGAAATCACACAACAAAAGAACAAAATTCCATTCAGAACTCTAATCAGTCATTACTCTATATCTTCTCTATATATCTGAATGTATAGAAGACGCCAAAGTGACAAGCTATGTGATGAGTATCATCCTTGATTAGTGAAAATATTTGTAGATTCGATACTTTATCGTCAAAAAATAATGAAAACAATATTTTAACGAAATTTAAAAAATCTTTTATGTAACACGATAGGATTTTATTTTTTGTAACTTGCTCTCGTTACACAAAATTAAACTTTTCGTAACTCTTTACCTAAATAGCTATTCTAGAAGTATGGCTAGCATAAAATGTATCAAATATACTAATGTCACAAACCTATTCTGATAAAAAATAGAAATTTGATATTTTTTCACAAAGCTACATTCTTTGGAGTCACAAACTCAACTGCAAACAAGAGAAACCTAAAATAATTTTGAAAATTTTCACATCAATTTCGTATTTTCAATTTTTAACGCGGCTGCCACTGCGATCTCTGGCACCGCCACTGAGAAAGAAATGAAACCTTAATATCGGTTGTATTTCAACCCTTGTCTTTGAATTCACCAGCGCAGCGTTGCCAAATGATGAACAGGCGAATGTAGGCATTCACTAAGAAATGTTGTACTTTATTGTCGTCGCACTTATTTCGACTGCATACTTCCGCTACCCGCCAGCAGGGGCGTGCGTCTTTGATTAATTTGGCTAGAGAGAGTAAAGCAAGAAGAGAGATGAAAATATCGTTGACAGATAATAATTTAGTCACGTCAGTCACGTGCTCCCACGGCCTCTTTACATTTTTCACTACATTATTTGAGGTTGTGTACACGTTCTCAATGTTAGTAAGCAAATAACTAGAAAACTAAACGAAAAGCTGAAATTAAAGACACTCATACACAATAATTATTCAAGTACCTTGCAGCTTTGACGCCTCTAATCTCAGCTGAAGTGAAATCGGGATGATTTGCGGAAAAACTAGTAATGATAAAATGATAATAGCCAATTAACTGCTTGCCAATCTCTAATTAGACGGACAAACGATAATAGAATAGTTTATAACAGCATGTAAATAAATGTTGACATGGACTTTGACGTCATCCTAAGATACTACCAATCCCGTTGCGTTTTACCTAATTTGAATCTGTCTCGTAACGTTTTCAATCATGAACTATTTGAAATTTATAAAATATATAGTCATGTGAACCCATTTACATTGATCTGGTATCAAAATAGATTGAGCAAAAAATTAAAATGAACTATTTTATATTACATGCATATGACCTATTGAACAAATTGGTCTCATCACTGACCTAAAGCCGTGAACGCCGAGGCCATCGAAAGAAGAAACTCTTGTTTACTTAAATTCAAATCTCAATTGAAAGAGAATTTTGGAAAACTTAAAACTATTTTTCATAGATATTTATACTATATTATACTTATTTTGATTGAGGATAGTGAGGATATAGTTCTGCAGGAACAAGTGAGATGAAGTGATATTCTTACCTTTTCCCAATAACTTTGAAAATGGGTATTGTCATTAGCATATGTTCTTGGATTGTTCAGACTTATTCTAGATTTTTAGATCTCAATGAAGCCAGAAAAGACTTGGAAGCCTGTCTGAATGAAGATCTTAAAAAGGAATATTTCAGTCTACTCCGCCAATGGTTTCTCTTCACTGCCACCGTGACAAAAGAAGAATTCGACAAGGGTGTTAGGAAGTTATTAACTAGTGAGGATCAAATACGCTGTCACAATCATTTTCTTTTAGCGATACTTACAAAAATCAGTTCGAACAGCCGTCCAAAAGCTCCACGAAGCAACACTGATAGAGGTATTTTTGAATGTGCTGACTATGCTGATTATGTGCAGCCTTCAAGTCCAACGATGACTCCCAGACCTGACTTTGAAAATAGGAGTGCTGCAGCTGAGCTGTTTATCCCAGACAGTGGATTCATTGCATGCCGAGTAGCTATTGCTGCTTGGGAGAACGGAATGGAAGGAGCTGAAGAGAGTGTAACAGAACTGATGGTCCATGCATGTCAGGTGTTTGTGAAGAATTTAATTACAGCTATGATCAGCAGAAAGAAAGGATACAAAGTGCGTGATAGAAAATTTCAGTACGGTTTTAATTTGCCCGTACCTGATCCTTTCACCAGAAATTTCAACAATATTATCGATGATACTCAAGAGTCAAAAGTAGAAGTTGCCAACGGAGATGATACTTTCAGACCAAAATGCAAAGTATCACTGGAAAACATGGAACAGCAAGTTGCGTTCTCATATTCTTGTGCTAAAAGAACTGCATTCAACAATACTTTGACTGTGAGACTTTTATATGATACTATCAGAGAAAATCCGAAGATTTTGGGGTTGCATACCATACATAGTGTTAATTTATTCAGATTAGGCTTATTATTAGATGAAGATTCTACAGAATGACTGTAGTCATAAGATTTTATTCTTTGATTTTCACTAGGAACATTCATGCTCCTATAGAGAACAAAATCCTGACTGGTAGGATGCGGTCAAATAGAATCCAAAGTACCAAAGTTTTCGTCCGCTACCTCAGAAAGCATCAGTGGTAAATACATTGACTGCGAGGACAAATATTAAATCTTGAAATCTCAGCAAAGACTGTAGGTCATTGATGATGTCTGGTGCAGTAGCAGACGAATTGTTTGGTTCTTCAGATTTCATATGACCATAGCCTACCAGCCTGGATTTTGTTCTCTTTAGTCCTGACTCCGGCCGTGAAAGCCTATGTTCTTATATCCATGTACCTGTTCTAAAGCTGGATTTATAGATGATACACAATAACACTCAACAAAATGGGGAATGTTCCTCAATTTGGGTTATTACAGCAAATGCAAGTTTGAACAAAATAAAGTTGAGTTTAATTCATGAGTTTTTCAAATTCACTTCAAAAAGTATTCAAATTAATGTTTCAAATGTTGGGTTTTAATTTTTAAAGGGATTTGTTTATAATTCACATATTGGCAACAGCGCCTAGAATGTTAGATCGGAGTTCAGGTTATCTAGATATTCTATTTTAAATAATTAAGGCAAAATATAAATTATAGTTCAAACTACCTCCACAAGCAACATAAACTACAGTTGTTTTGTTTTTTATTTATATAGAGGAAGATAGGTTAGGTGCACAAAATGTCATATGTCACAGAATGTCTCGGAACTCGGAACATAAGTAAACAGAACAGCACATCTCTGAAATATGTCATCTTTGTTTGTCTCATACAGGTAACAGATTCATTGTCCTTTATTAGCTATAACCGATGTCAAATGGTGAAATAGAAACGAATCCCTTTAAATGTTGAATGCATTATTTAATTTTTTTTAAAGTATTTAAATAATTTTTTACAGAAAAAAGTTGAAATGGTAAGTTTAAAATGCGTTGTTTTAGAGCTCTTTTATGAAAACTACTTAATTTTCGTCAGGAGAAACATTCCCCATTGAAGTGTAGTACTCCGTAGGCGCAAAACAAGAGAACTCAAATATTTTCAATTTTACTCATATTGATAGTAGCTAATGAAGAAATTGTTAAAATATAGTATTTGTAGATACAACAAGTTGTGACTAGAAAACTAAGTGAACCAATCATGAAGTTTAAAACAAGAAAAATTGTCAATTGTTGAAGATACCTTCCTCAGTCTGAAAAATAGACAAAGATAATTCAGTAGGCGCCAAGATTCAGTGAAAAGGCACAGGTATTTGAAATATTACTGTATTTCCCATTAAGAAAAGAAATAATATCACAAAACTCTATTAAAAGAAATATTTCAATAATAAACAATGCGCACTATCAAAAAGCCAGCATACAAAACAAAACATTTTATTACCTCTTGGAGAGTAAACTAACTATTCACGTACGCTGCACTGTCCAAAAGTCGTTTTTTTTTAGTTTGTACCAAGAAACGTAAAATTTTCTGTAATTGGGAACTGGAAAGTCTTGAAAGTCATCTGATAACCCAGGTTGGTAAGGTCCTTTTAGAATTAGTTGACGCGCTATTTCAGGGATCAAAATAGTATTTTTGAATACAAATGGGTCTACGACAAAATTGAAATATCAATTATAAAATGATCCATGTAAAAACAAAATGTTTTTCCCCCCTTCATTCCCAGCAGACATCTTATCAGAATGGTCTTGCTCTTACTATCATTATCCAAATCACTATCACTCTCCGTAGTGTCGGGTATATTTGAAACCGATTCCTCTACACTACACTGGCTTTAAAGTAAAAACTTTGAGAACAGACAATGGTCTGGAATACGCCAACAGAGAGTTGGATGATATTTTGAGGAGAAATGGAGTCAGGCACGAAAAATCTTGTGTCTATACCCCACAACAAAATGGTCGCGCAAATAGGGAAAATAGAACTTTAGTCGAGGCAGCTCGCACTATGCTTCATTGTAAGAACTTGGAAAGGAAATTTTGGGCTGAGGCAATCAACACTGCTGCATTTGTAATGAACAGAATAGGACTAGGAAGAAGCACTAATAAAACTCCTTATCAATTATGGTATGGAAAAGATTTTGATATTTCATTACTGAAAGTAAATTTGGGACTCAAGTTGCTACACATATTCCCAAAAAAAAAAGACTGAAATTGGATCCAAAGAGTAAGAAAGGAATACCGGTAGGCTATGGTGAAGAGGTCAAATGCTATAGAGTCTACTTTCCTGATATTAATAAAATTGAGATTCATAGAGACTTGATCTTCATACCAGAAAATGAGAAAACAAATGAAAAAGTCAGTGAAAAGGTCATTGTATTGGATTTAGATACTGAAGAACAACCAATAAATATAGAAACAATTCAAGAAAATGAAGAAACGTATATTTCACAAAATACTCAACATGAGGATCAAACTGTAAAAGAATGATATAATTCTATAGAGGAAGAAAGTTCTGATGATTCCTTCCCAGAGGAAGAAGATACTCCAGAAACTAGTGACCCTATTGTAGGAAGAAGAGGAAGGATGTTAAAAAAACCTGCTTGGATGAACGACTATGAAACCAGTTTTTTTACAGCACTAGAAGCACCATTGTCATTGGAAGAGGCAATTTCTGGCACAAACGCACTCAAATGGGAAGCAGCAATAGAAGAGGAATTCAATGTGTTACGCAAAAATGATGTGTGGAGTGAAGTGTCATGGCCTGTTTAAAATCAAAAGTGACGGCAAATATAAAGTTCGTTTGGTTGCTCGTGGTTTTCAGCAAGACCGTGTAAATGAACTGTATGACATTGCCAAATTGTCTACTTTTAGAATAATGTTAGTCATAGCAGCTAAACTAGGCTTACCATGTATCACACTTGGATGTTCAAAGTGCCTTCTTACATGGTGATATAACAGAAGAGGTATATATGTCATTACCAGGTAAAAATAGAACAAATTCCTCGACTGTTTGTAAATTAAATAAATCAATCTATGCACTCAGAAAATCTCCAAAATGTTGGAATAATAAATTCGATATTTTGATTGAAAAGGAAGGCTTTGTAAGGTCTCAAAATGATTTTGGTCTCTATTGTAAAGTCTCAAACAAGTAAATTGTTTATTCTTTTGTATGAAGATGATATACTAATTATGGGTACTGATGATTCTGATGTCAACAAGTTGAAAATTGTTCTAAAGAATAATTTTTCTATGAAGGATTTAGGTTTTGTTTCTAGTTATTTAGGTATAAATGTCAAACAGAATTTAGAACAGGGCTGTATTGAACTTGATCAATCTGATTACTTAAAATAAGTTTTGGAAAAATATAATATGAGCGAATGCAATCCTATAAGTACCCCTATGGACCAAAATTTTGATTTTGCTCTGTTGAAGAATGAAACTTCAAAAAATTTAAATGAACAGTGTAGAAAAATAATGGGAAGTCTTCTTTATGCAGTGTCAGGTACTAGACCAGATTTATGTGAAAGTGTAAATGTACTCAGTAGATTTCAGGATAAGGCAAATGATTGTTTGTATAAAGCTTTGAAGAGATCTCCGTTATGTCAAGGAAACATTGAATCTAAAATTAATTGTTAAGCCTGATAGTAATTCTGATATTCTCGTTGGATATGTTGATTCCGATTGGGGTGGAGATATTGTTGACAGAAAGTCAACTACTGGTTATGTTTTCAACTTTTTTGATTGTACAATATGTTGGACTAGTAAGAAACAGCATACAGTATCAATTTCTTCTACCGAATCGGAATATATTGCCCTGACAGTAGCTATTAGTGAGGCATGCTGGTTAAGGAAAATTTCAATGGATTTTCATTCGTTTTCTATAAATAATCCAATACCAATATTTGAAGATAATCAGTCGGCTATAAAAATTGCTAATAATCCTGAAAATAACAGACGATTGAAACATATTGATATCAAATATTACTTTATTAAAGAGAAAATTAAAACAGGCTTGATTAAAGTATTGCATGTAAAAACTGAAGAACAATTAGCTGATGTGTTTACTAAATCTTTATCAAAGAATACATTTTCAAAGTTTGTAAAATTATTAGGTTTAGTAAATGACCATATATGAATGATCAATTCTTTGCATATATTTAAATTGTTTCATTGAGGGGGGGTGTTGGTAACAATGAAGCAATTTACGGTTGGTAGTGTGACTTTCCTAGTCTGTCGAATGGCATCCATGTATAAGTTTAATCAAGTTGTTGTAAAAGTTTATCTAGAGCGTTGCGTTAAAGATTAGCATAATATAATTTTGGAAAAAATACTGATCCAAGTTTTATTCCAGCCATCATTCACCTAAACCTTAAACACTTAACACGATTAATTAGAAGCGTGCATTCCATAGTTTGTATGATGGAAGGATAAGTGAAACAGATCATTATTTCTGATAGTTGTCTTTGACATATTTAAGTGAATCCTATCGAGAAGTTCTGGGCATGTAATGAGGCCATTCATTTGTGTATAAATATGTCGGCATTCTCTCGTCTTCTGCTTAACAAGTCTAGGTTAAGACTGTTCAAAAGAATTGTATGATCATGATTGTCAATGTGTATATTCATTTTATAAGCACATAATTTCGGGAATTTATGTTGGATGAGGAAATTTTCCATTCACTTTGTGAAAGCTGATGATGAACATTTGATGATGTTGATGTGTAAATTGTTTTCAATACACCAATCCAAGCTATTTAAATCATATAAAAAAATCTGTTTTTACGTTAACCAGCTGTCGCACCCCTACGAACGACAACCCTCAGAAGTCGAAACTTGTGCGAGCTAAAGATTAACCAGGTCTTACCTTTTAACGTGTGATTCCAAACACGTAACAAAGTAACATCGTCTAATGATTCTATCGGTCTGAAAATTTTAGGATCATCTGCAAACATTGGAAAGTTTGAATTTTCGAAACATTCTGTAATGCCATTAACAAAGATGTTGAACAGAAGAGGTGCATAATGAGACTTGAGGTACTCCTGATG